TAACAAAACCAGAGCAATATATGTACATTTGACTGCGCTCAATACCCTGCGAAGTGAATGCTGGGGAAAACGCGTGTTTAATGGCATTTTGGAAGTGTCCGCGGTGCTCTCCGGGTAGAAGAGGAGACATTACAGCGCGAGTTAGCTAACGTTAGCTCGCTAACAAGGTCAGTTTAAATTTTTGCTTCGGTCGCTGTTGTAGCAGAAGCATCATTAAAAACCAACTCTTATCATCTTTGCCAACTCAGTTTACCGATAGAATTAGCACAGACTCCCGTCCACTGCCGGAACAGGTAACCTACTGTAGCTGTCATCGGCATGCGTTAGCTTGTTAGCTCGGCGCTTATCGCTGCCCAATTCATTCGTTTTTATTCGACTTAGGGGCTCGATGTTTGAAAGTGATGTACCATTAGCTGGTTCACGCTGCCTTATGGAGGTTATTTCGAGAAGCAAGCTTTATTAGTAACATCATCAGTGGTGTATGTTCACTGAGCTAACGTTAGCTGCAGTATTTTGAGAAGGGTAGGCATTTCTGTGGTGGGTCCCCCAGTAGCAGCAGCTCGCTGCTTGTTTCCGCCTAGAATAAAACAGGTGCATCTCTGCGCTAGCGACGGACAGATGCAGGATAGCACCCAGTGCAGCCGGTTACCGTGTTCGCTGGTTTTCTTTTTTTTGCGCTGTTTAAGGAACTAACGTCACGTTAATAACCCTACTAAAAAGGTTTACCTGGTGTGGGCAGCCAAATGATTTATCAAGGTTGAACGTCGTAGGCGTTATCATTTACAAAGGCCTTGTCTACTGAGTCCAATAGAAAGGGGGACAACTGAAACGGGCCCGGTAACGTTAGCCAACATTTTAGTTGGATCGCCAACGCTAGCTGTAAGACAGTAACTGGCTAGTAACTGGATGCTGGGACAACCCTGAAACATTTGATTATGACTGCATTGTCGGTATTTTGTTTAATCAAACTTTCATCAACCAGAGCGTGTTCGTTGCTGGTGTTATACTGGGAAGGCTGGTTCAGTTAGTGTGGCGAGTTTCCCAACGTGTTGAACGATAACGGAGGTAGTTTTACTTTAACCTGATGTTGTCATATCGTATATCATGCCATATCATCTCAATCACTAGTAGTCAGACATGTAAATTGGTTTACACCTGTTAAGAGAATCAACCGGGAACAACGGCAAATTTTCCGGAAAAAGCCTCTCTCATTGGGAAGCTTTACGTTCGTGTATTTAGAGTTGTCATTGTTTTACTCTTGTTTCATGTTTAGATGCCCCTGAATTCTTAGAAATACACAGAAGTGATTTGTTGCCCTCCAGCACTGGGTTTTTACAGCATTCAGTTGTTCTGCTGTAGCGTTAAACGAGCCTGCGCTCAGGTCATCATACCAAGTTAGACTTTAACTCAGTCAAGGCCGATTTTGTGTTCTCTCTGCACACATTTCATTATTTTGTTGAACAGTGTGGAGGGCAACACAAGGAAACATCCATTCGCAAAACAAGCTTGTCTTGTGGATATGATTGTTATTCAGCTCATGCACTGTCTAGAGGCTGCTGAATGTGGTACGTCAATTGAATTGGCCCTGAGTGCCACTGTGCATCGGAGCCCTAATTATTTTTGATGGTTTTCAAGTTTTAACTACTGTTGAACTGCAGACAGCATGGATACTGTGGTTGTAAACAGTTTCGTAGCCCCAGCAGTGAAGTCCTGAGTGTGAAATGAGCAGAAATCACCTGTACTCAAGCCTGTGCTTTGCACTGTCTGCCACATAAACAGGTTTTAATAAGTGCTCAGTGTTTACATGATCGGGAAGTAAACCATCAGAATTATACTAGACTCCACTGTATATTGTCAAAAAAGCATTTTTATATAAGCTTTGGCTTCGCACTGGGTTTTTGAAGCTATTTTTCTTGCATAGTTTAGCAAGAGTTGTCATGGCTCTGTCCCGGTGCTGTTGTAAAGAAATTATTTTGATGATAACAGTGAGGCACAATCATAACCCTTTATGAGCAGTGTGAAATGTCATTAGCACAGGTTGTTGTCTGAATGTAACCTCTCTTCTTAGACAGTCTAAAGGCAGAGTAATCATAATATGCAAGTTATTCATTTTTAATTTTTAAGTTTTTATCCAAGGCTTTTAAAGTAAGTGCTTTCAACTACTGGCAACATGGCTTTTGCACTCTTTTGTTAAATAATGTCTGTTTCCTCAAATGACACATTTCATTTTAATGTTCTCTTGCTCACTTGAACAATATGTTGGAAGTCTGAAAACTAACATATTAAAAACTTTCATACTGTATATCTTACATTGGTGTTGGAATTGGATTCTGAATTATTCACACACTGTAAAATGAGAATGCGATAGAATCTAGGCCACGTTGAAAGCGTTGATGCTCACATTTAGTTTTTTTTGTGTGGTGACATTCTGAGGTGAGGTGTAATGCTCAGTTCTGAATTAAATTAAGCTTATGGACAAAGCCTATTTTCGTGTTAATGCTTATGTTTCACAGATAAACACAAATGGATAAATGAATGAAGCAGCATTTTTTGTCTTCACATTCTGCCAACATAATGTAGGCCATTGGAGACCCAGCCATTAAGTATTGCAGGATCATGGGACTTTAAGGGACTGCTTAGTGATTGTGTGTGTGTGATTGTGTGTGTGTGTGTGTGTGTGTGTGTGTGTGTGTGTGTGTGTGTGTGTGTGTGTGTGTGTGTGTGTGTGTGTGTGTGTGTGTGTGTGTGTGTGTCTTGGGCATTCAGAGTCAAAAGAAGGCTCCACAAGGCAGTGGGCCATGGGGTATAAATCCCACTAAGCTGACTCAGTAGATGGAAACTCAGATAAGGTACATGTCTCAACCTGATTAGTGGGTTAGGCGAGACATGACTCAGTACTCGCCATGTACTTTTGAGTAGGTGGCAAAATAGTGTGTCACTACTTTTTCAACAGTGTTTCCAGTTTGACAGCATTTGTTAATTAATGTATTTATGTAATGTTTGAAGTGTTATTTCTTTCCAGCATTTCAAACTAGGTGGATAGTGGAAGGTACAGGACCCCCATGGATGTGAACTGATTGAACGTTATAGTTTTCTCAATAGTCCACTTCTGTGCCAGAACCACCACACTAGATACCTGCAGTAATCGTTTCCACTGAATGTAGAATAGAGGAAATACAGTTTGTATTGTTTTGTCATGCATGTTTTTATTAGTCAGTAATAGTAGATGGTGTACTGACACAATAGACTTTCCCACAAAGTAACTGCAGTTAGTATGTAGGTTTTTGTCCAGTGATGAATCATAAATATTTAAACGTAAAGGCAGTGGGTTGGCTTCTCTCACTAGCACTGACTGAGCTGCACATCACTATAGAATTTTTGGCTCCTTACAATTATATAATCAGATCTGAATAGTGTGGGTAGTTATTGTAAAAGGGAGTGAAGTAGAGAGGTGACTTAGGCTGAATGCTGATTTGCCAGAAAGTTCTGAGATAATTTAAAAATCATAGCAATATAGGCTATTGGTTTTCATGGATTTCCTAAAGGCTCACTTATCTTTGTAAAACATGAATAATTGTCCTTGTTGATTCCATTTCAGATACAGATCAGATGTTTGAAGCAGTGGTTATGGTTATTGTTAGGATTCACATTGGAATGGTAGTTTCTGGTAATGTAATTTATGCTGTAACAATGTATGTAATTGACTAGTCGAAAGTGAGAGAGACATACTGATCTGAAGTTTTATTTGTGACTGCATTTGGAGTTTATTGGAGTACCATGCATTTGCTTGCATGGTTAATTTCAGTAATGACTACTGCCCATTGTGTTCATTAAATTTTATAGCTTATCCTGAAACAACAAGGCTGAGGACTGTTCTTGCCTATATTGGGGCAAAGTGTGTGTGTTGTGTCCTGCAAGATCCCTCTCCCATTGAAGTGCAGCCTGAATCATCCAGATATTACTGGAGTTGCTCTAAACAGCATAAAACCTTCTTGGAGTGATTGGCTTTGCATAAATTGGTTGATAACACAGCTTACGTTCTAGAATAGAAGGTTGGCTACTGATTGACATGTATTGTACTAAGACCCTCTGCACAAAGTCTCCACCTTCTGGCAATATTTTGGATTGTATACGTTGATGTCACAGACTCATGCACATCAGGCATTAGGATTCCTGGCAACTGGCTTACCCTCCTCTGCCTTTTTGAGTGCTACAGGATTGGGGTTGGCTGGGTCAGCACAATGCAGACTCTTAAATCCAACCCCCAGGGCACCTAATTAAAACCTACAACCAAGACAAACAACTTTTTGTCTTGGTATTACTCAGAATGCCATGACAGCGGAGTGAAAATCAGTACAAGACTGTTTTTTACTTTGACAGTACAAGTGCATGATCTAAATAGGAAATGTAAATATAAGTTATGCTCTAGGAACCAAAATATGGTTACATTTAATTTCAGTAGATGTGGATAATATTTGTTGTTTATCCTAACATTTATACAGTTGCAAGTATTTTGGGAACAGTGGTTTTAGCCAATTTTAATGTGGTGATTTAATTATTTAATTATTATGCAGTTATAAATTGTAGTGCATGGGAAATATACAGTGATCACTCACTCATCCACATGTTCACTACTGCCTTTATAATAGACATTCAATAGTTTACTCTGCAGTGAGCTGTAAATTTTGATTTTGGACATTAATACATCATACAGTATTATATCAAAGATTTACAGTATAGAACTTATAAATCATAGTCGATTTGCAGCATCACTGGTGGGTGTAATATAGTACTAAATTGTATGCTTTGAAATCATAGTATTAAACTTAACTGCTGTTTTAGCATGCAATGTATGAACTGTGTTAACACTGTGGTGGGGAAATTTGCTGTGATCATTTGGTATGCATTAGCAGGGTCTTTACTGTGTAAGCAGTAATGCTACTTGTATGTTTGTACTGTTTTTCACTTTGTCATACTCATGTTCTTTTTTTTGCCCCCAGGTAGCTGGCTGACATGGCTGTCTAACAGGCTGCCAAAGATCTCTACATGGATCACAGCGGGCAACAAAGTAAACAAAGCACTGTATCTGTGAGCAAAGCCAATAACTAGGGAATCTGACCCACAAGCTTATCATCAGACTGACTTCAGTGCATGTGGCCTCTTCAGTTGTTCATAGACATCTGTTGGGCAGCCCAAAGGCCTGTTGCTATGCACTATAAAAGGAGAGACATGAGCTGTGGGGATACTGGGAGGAGCAGGCTTCTTTCATGCAGGACTATCCCTCTGGTAATAGGGATTCTGGTGACCATGGCAAAGGGTACTGTGCCAGAAGAGCAAGAGGCTCTGGTGGAGATGATATCTATGGAACTGGAGGCTTCCATGCAGTCCTCTGTGCTCTCTGAGCTCCAGGCTGCAGCATCTTCAGTCAGTGAAGGGCCATCTGCAGCTATCCCAGATTACTCTTTGAAGAATGGGGGAGTCCACACTGGCATACCTGACTCCTCAGCAATCGTTGGCCAGGTGTTTCAGTTGAAGGTTCCACCAGGACCTGTCAATTCAAGCTGTAATGTTCATGTAAGTACACCAGAGATATGACATAGGAAAAATTCAATACCGACATAAAACAGGTGTTGATGTTCTGTGGGAAGTGTTTGTAATTTTGTATTTGTATTTGTATTTATACATTAAACTGTACGTTCTATTTATAAATGAAAGTAATTTATTTAATGCTAATTTAGTGAGGTCAGAATTAGTCATTTAGAGCAGCATCTGTGTTTAAAAAAGAGACAACACAATGGGGAGTATCGGAGGACACTGTGTACTGTGTAGGAGGGCGCTATTATTTGTTTATGACCCAACTAAAGCTAGTACTTTGAGTCCTAGCTTGAGGGTTTACATTAAACTTTGTCATTTAAAATAAGTCTAAAATATAATCCTTCCTAATCTCAGTGTTAATGTTGAATAAATGCTAGAAATCTGAACCTCAGGTTTTATACAGGACTGAACTGTAATTAGATTGAAAATACAGTATTTTTGCCTCAATTGTACTCTGTATAAAGAAGAGAAAAAAAAGAATGAAAAATAAGTGTCACTGAAGATATGTGCAGCTGGTTAAGCTCGGTAAAAACATTTACTACCCAGTGATATTGTTTGTTTGTGTCTCTAATGGAGACTACTGTGGCCACATGGAATAAAGTATTTTTTCTGTCAATGTAGAAATACAGTAGATAATACTGTGTATGTATTCCTTGGGTTTGTATCGATTTGTTCCAGTCAGACTTATGAATGAGATGAAATTATTATTGGCCCAAGTGGTGATGCAGAATGATATCCTGTCATCCAGTAATAGCTCAAAATGAGGAGTGATGACTCACATAGTTATTATGAATAGGAGCTCACTCGGCTTCCTGTTCCTATTCGGAAAGATTTGATAAACTGAATGGAACTGGGAGAGAGGTGGGGGGTTGGATAGTTAGAGAAAGCATTTCTGCTTTCAATGAAGAAGTTTGAAATTGTATTCATCTGTGTGGTTTTCTGGTTCCTGGTTCACTGGCAAATTGATTAATATGAAACGGAGAACTAAATACAGAATTGTATGCTGATAATAGATGAATTGTTAGTCATTTCTCATATTAAACTAAACATCCTAGTTGCTATTTCAAAGATCTACTTGCTTTTCTCTACTTTGTCATTTTACAAGTTAAGTCCCTAAGTAATTTTCATATATCACTTGGGTTTGGGTATTTTTTTAATGGTCATTGTAATAATTTTTAATGTGAACAATTACTTGATCAGTTAGTATTATATTTAGCCTTTTCATATTTTAGATTCATCTCAGAAGTGTCCCTATATTATAAAACAGTACCAGTGTTTGCTTTCTCCCCTTGTAGCTCACTGAGATGGGAAAGGAGACTTTACCCTCCTGGCTGTATTGGGACAAAGAACGCTGCATTCTCAGAGGCTTGGCTCTGGAGCGGGATAAAGGTGTTTATCATATTTTGGTATCTGGAGAGGAGATAACTGAGAAGATGGGCAGCCAAGTGTTTCCCAGTACAGTCTTCTCTATTGAAGTATACCCTGAAGAACGAGCTGACACTGAGCCAGCTCTACTCACTCTACAGTCTGATATTAGTGGCCTCCAGCCTTTCACCTGTGGCTCCGAGGAGCCTGTCACTGTGCTCACTGTCATCTTGGATGCTGACTTGACTAAGATGGTTGCAGAACAGAGGGTCAGCTTACTGCGCATTATGAGAAAGTTCTCACATGTGCCCCTGGAGCACATGAGGGTGATCCCTGTTGTTAACAATCGCTTATTTGACATGTCTGCTTTCATGGCTGGACCAGGGAATGCTAAGAAGGTGGTTGAGAATGGGGCCTTACTGTCATGGAAACTTGGATGTGCCCTTGAGCAGAGCAGTATCCCTGACATTAGCAGTGTCCAGTCCTCAGCAAAAGATGGGACTATGTCAGCCAGGTTGGGGTATCCAGTGGTTGGTTGGCACATTGTCAACAAAAAGCCCCATGGGGTGAAACGCGTCAGACGGCAGTTGAACAACACTCCAACTCCAGTGCCCTCGCTGCTTCCTCCAACTACTCACCCAGAACCCCCTGTACGTGTTGTTCCCACCCCAACATCACCCTCAATTGCCCCAGCAACAGACAACTCTGCTCCCCCTGTTCGAGGCCCTTTGCCTCTTCCAGTGAAGCCCACTATGAGGGTTAGAGATCAGATAGCCCACACACCTGTCTTTGGACCTCCCCAGCCAACAAGAGTTCTAGGAACTACAAGCACCATCCCTATTCAGCCAACTATGACCCGGCCTACTTTTGTGGAGGCCACAGCTGTGCCAACACCACCAAGTACCACCAAAAAACCCAAACCCACAGCCACAAGGAAACCCAAGAAACCTAAAACTTCCACACCAGCTCCCCGGGAACCCAAGTCTACCACAGCCAAACCACCCAGACGCACCACTCCTCTCTCTTTGGCTCCAGACTTGAATCAGCCTCCAGAGATCCGCAACCCAATTGATCAGGTGAATGCATGGGTTGGCACATACTTTGAAGTTAAGATTCCTCCTGATACATTCTTTGACAGGGAGGATGGCACTGCTGATAAGCTTCGTTTGACTTTGAAGAAGACCCCCAAAGACTCAGTGAATGAAACCTCTTGGATCCAGTTTAACAGCACCATACAGCTTTTATATGGCCTCCCAGAGGAGCAGCATGAGGGGAAACATGAGTACTTCATGTTGGCAACTGATAAGGGTGGGAGGAGCATCTTGGATGCATTTGAGGTACAAGTAAACCGTTGGTCTACTAATGACAAACCATCAGTTGTGTTTGCTGCTCGTTTCCATGGTGACCCCAACACCTTAAGCAACGATGTCCACAAGAAGATTCTTCTGACCAGAAAGTTAGCTTATGCCTTTGGTGATCGCAATAGCAGCACAGTGACCCTGAGAAGCATCACTAGGGGCTCCATTGTGGTGGAATGGACCAATAACAGTCTCCAGCAGAATCTTTGTCCAAAGGAGCAGATTACAATTCTCAGTAGCAGGATCTCTGATCCTCAAGGGACACCTAAACGGGCCTTCATCAAAGCCATGGAGCCTGAATTCATACCCAAAAACATTTCAGTTCGTGGCACCAATAAATGTCAGCGCTACACGTTCATTCCACCAGGAGAGATGCCATTGCCTGATCTTCCTACAGCTACTCCTTCACCTGGGACTGGTCGTAGGAGCAGCGATGATGTTTACCAAAAACGTCATGCCTGCTGTTGTGGTAGCAGCCCTGCTGCTCATAGCCGGGATCATTGCTATGGTCTGCTATCGCAAGAAGCGCAAAGGGAAGATGACCATAGAAGAACAGGCCACTTTCATCAAGAAAGGAGTCCCCATAATATTTGCAGATGAGTTGGATGATTCCAAGTCACCCCCATCCTCCAGCATCCCTCTTATCCTTCAGGAGGAAAAGCCCCCACTTCCTCCTCCAGAATACCCTAACATGGCCGGTCCACACAGTACTCTGCTTAACCAGGATTTGTTGGAGGAGTATTCTTTTTATCAAGATGATGATACTAATGCCCCTCCTTACCAGCCCCCCCCACCATTTACAGTCCCCATAGAGGGCAAAGGCTCTCGCCCCAAGAACATGACCGCATATAGGTCACCACCTCCCTATGTGCCTCCCTAACACCCACTGGAGCTTTCAGTTGGGAAAGCAGGTGAAATGTAGGGACGCTTGTTGAAAATGAAATGGCTTTGACTTTGTAGAGGAGCAGGCAACCATATTCATATATTTGACCATCATGGATAAGACACTGTATTTTACGATTCTACTACTGGCACAGGGCAACTGGATGGGGAATGGTTTGTAATTTCAGCACTTTTTTGGGTCCTTCACATCTACTTTTGACTTCTAAAATATTCTTTTGTCTGTTTTTGCCAAGAAGAGTCAATTTTATCTTCAATGATGTACTATTTCTATTGTATAGGAAATAATAAAGGAGGGAAGACAAGTCCACAGGGCCTTTGCGCAGATGTCACCATGACAACAGACTTGAGGCTGTCCCTCACAATATCTTTGAGTTTTATATCACTCTTATCTGTCCTTTGGCTAGGTTTACTAAGATTTTGCACCTGTTATTTCTAGAGGGGAATAAAATACAAAAAGCCAAACTGAAAGCATGAAACACTTTATTTACACAAAATGAGTTTGTTTCTTACTTCGATCTTTCCTTGGTGTCCTTTATGCTTTTCTCCCTCTTGACAATAACAAGCAAACCTTGCACTTATGCAAATTCTTGTTAAACCTTGCACTATGTGTATTGCACAGAATTGAACACAGTAGGTGGTAGGTTAGGCGGTGGGGGGGGGTTCGTTTTGTTTCCCTGAACTCACCACATAACTGAGATTCCTCTGGTACTTGATCACAAAGGACATTACACTGATCATGCCTGTTGTAGATGTAGCCTAATTAAGTTACAAAACAAATAATGGCTTTTTTTGGTCTTAATGCGTGTGCCACTGAGCCTGTCCTGTGAGATGACTGGTTTTGCTGTTGCCAAGGTGATGTGTGTGGTCACAAGGCCAACTGTGTGTGGTTTCTACAACAATAACAATGGGGCCAATGGAATGCTGTGGTTCACAGTAGGGTGACAATGGATGACATGGGCAATGAGGTGGAGCCAATGTCTAATATTCAGTTGGTGTTATTAGTATGTGGGGTGGGTGGGCTTGGAGTACTGTACTGTCACTGCTCTGTCTCTAGGGGTTGCACTGTTACATTTAGTGCACTGCCTGGTGTCAGTTCAGATGAGACATTAAGGGGATGTACATAATTGTGTGCCTGTGAAATTAAACAGCTCCATAATGTTAGTGTTTTATCAGTAAACCTAGTTGGGAAAGGGAGGGCCAGAATGGGATATAGTTTTATTTTTTGATTGTATGTCTAGATTTATGATCACAATCATAAAAAAAAAAAAAAACGTAGTTTGTGAGGGTACAAAAGAACATTTACTTACTCATCACAAAAATAATGCATTATCTCAGTATGATGGGGAACAAAGAAACCACGACGGTATGTGAATTATGTACATTTCATATCCGATATCTCCATAAGAAAAATGGTTAAAAATCTAATGTTTTTACTGAGTTTTTGATACAGTCTTAAACCTGTTTTATGAAAATATATTAATAAAATGTAATACTATTTGTAAAGCCTCAAAGTTGTTGTATAGTCCTTTTTTTATTACAGAAAATACATGTGTGTAGGTGTATTAAAGGGCAAAGAGAAACAACTTACCAGCTAAATTATAATGCACTATACAGTCATTTCAAAATCTGTCAGTACTGCGTAGATCATTATAGAAACAGAGGAAACAAAAGCATAATGGGTGCTTGTTACAATTAGTTGCAAAGTTATTTTTTTAATCAAAATAATTACGCTTGAAATATTGTACACCTCACTTTGCCTTACAGATGTATTTTGCCATCAGACATGTACAGTATGGTATATAATAGCAATGAAGCCTAGGCCTTTTCCTGTCTTGCTTTACAGTGTGTTGTCACGTTCTTGACAGAGATTGTAGAAGCAGGCTCTAATTGGCTGTAATGGCTGGCTGCTTTTGACTATCACATGCACTGCACACACTGTTATAATTAACCAAATCCACAGCAGGCAGCCCACAGCCAGATTTATTTTAAGAGAAGTGCTCCCTTTCTGTGGCATATTAGGTGGGCAGTTTTTCTTTTTTGCACTCCTACATCTTTTGGAAGAATATCAATAACTGACTAATATCTGCTCTCAATTTCCTTTATTATAGCGCTTCTGGTATGATGACTTATTAGGGAGAGGCCAAAAACTGTTTGGTTGGTGACACGTTCCTGACCCATGCAGCTCTTTCAAATGTACATTTTCTGTACAAACTGAAATATAAGCTTTTTTTTTTTTTTTAGGTATTGCTTGAAAGAAATTCATTTAACTGCTGTGAAAGCTTCCGGGTGTAATTTCAGCATTATTGCATGCTTGGTGACAAGTTAATCAAAGTACTCAATATTCTCCCTTTTGTACCTTTTAGAGACCATTCAAAGCCTGAATTCTGTCAGTGTTCACTTGCTGTTGAAGCTCATACAAAATCAATGATCTCCATCCTAGACTACGACTTATTGCAAAGAGAGGAAAGGCTTTCTTTTCTGTCTTGGATGCATACCAGTACATTTCTTCATACCAGTCATGTCTCTGCAGTAATAGGTTTATGTGTTTTGTGACTGTGAATCTCAAGTGGTTTTTTTTCATGCAGTGCTGTAATTATGTTATCTGTTCTTATTTGACCAGTCTAACCAGTCTTAGTTAATATAGCATAATTGTAATTATGCGGTGGGTTACTGTGGAAATTGAGTGTAATAATTTATCAGTTAGCCAGCAACCATCCAAGTGTGGGTGACTGACGCACTTAGGAGAGATATAGTGACACTGAACTTACTGAGCTTTCCTATAAATGTGTGGTTAAATAAGCTTATACTGCTTATAAATACGGCATACAGACTGAAATACTGACATCTGACCTTGTTGCATAACATGGTTTCAGATTTGTACTGAGATGTTTATATGATATGGAATACAAACACACTATACATGGCGTTAATGATAAAAGGTCTGCAGCCTACAGAAATGAAGTGTAACATAAATTCAACAGTTTTAGAGCACTATGCAAGAAGGCGCCTAATTTTCATAGAACATTTGGCTTATCTAGCTGTAGTAATAAAATTAGCATTAACAGAGCTGCAGTGATTAAAATTCAACATACTGTAGATGGAAGGTTTGAATAGAGGTTTGGCATGTATTCTGTTCATAATGGGGGCTACGCAGGCCTGAATATTTTTCTGTCAGTGTAGAAACAGATAATACATAGTAGTTATTCCTTCAGTTTCACTGCTGACTGGTGTGTTCCATTCCAGTCAGACTTAGACATTATATACTTTTTACAAACCATTGCTTTATTGTGAGCAGCAAGGCTCAGCTGAAGATTATCTTCATTATCAAGTGATCTGATGATTTTCTTGCTCAGTCAGTTAACTGTTTGGTGTATGCTTATGTTCTTAGAGTCAAAAAAAAAAAAGTGGGCTCCTCCCCTCCCAGGTGGTTGTCATTACAAAGGTTTCAGACCCAGTACTAACATTTCTTCCAGTAGCTTTGAGGATTCTAAAATACAATTTAATAAAGCAACCATTAACAACTGCAGGAATAACCACCCAACAGTCACTGTTTGTCATCGACCCTCAGAATATGCAGCAGTGAACTAGTTGCTTGCACTGACCAGGCAGGTGTCCCATCTTCTGATGCTGTGGTCCAGGCGACAGACAGTAGCCCGGCGGAGCTGTGGTTGGGAAACGGTACAGTAATGCACATCAGTGTTGCCAAGGATAGTTGTGACTACAAATACCTGGTTGGGAGACGGTACAGTAATGCACATCAGTAATGCCAAGGATAGTTGTGACTACAAATACTGTGTGTACCTTTTTCTTCCGTTGTTCAATCCAGACCTTGACGGCTTGTTTTAATGTTGCACAGGACAAAGAGCCAACTTTCTGTAAAGGCACACAACCAAAGTACACTTACTGTATCTAGGGATGTGCTTTCTGTTAATACTCTACAACAGCAGTTGAGTAGTTTTGAGTCTACAAATGGAGTTGAGCTGATTAGACAGGAGCAGATGAAGGCAGTGTATCAAACTGTGGTGTTCAGCCACTCTTTCACTTCTCCTACCCCCCTTTCTGCACTCATTAATAATGTATTGGGAATTCAAGTTAATGTACTCATGTGATGAAAAATGTATAACCTCATGAAAACCTATAGGAAGAAGTGACCTTTCAGTTGTTGATGTGTCTGATGCACGGCACTTTAAAACCACTAGTTTGTTTCATGACTTCTGATGTACAAATGTAGTAGATCAAATATAGTTGAACACAAAGGATTTTAAATAGTTTGAACTGCTTCGCGGATTCCTTCATATCAACATTTATGTTGTTTATGCAACACCTGCTGTATTTTTATTTTAAATACCTCCAGCACTAATCAAAACTGGTGTTTTTTTGTTTTTTTTTTAGGTATGTTTATAATTCCTGGGGTCATAAATTCTAATTAGGCCTATATCCAGGCCAGGCCAAACTCTCATTGCAAGAAGGAAGGCAATTATTTCCTCTGCACAGTATTATTGACACAAGCTTTTCTCTTGATTAAAAAATAAAAACTAATCAGTGTTTGTATGCACCCTAGTGCTTGAGGAGGCGGTAACGTGATCTGCTACTTTGCAGTGCAAATTGCTGAGAGGCTATGATGGTGGGCAGCACACATGATATGGGCAACTCAGTAATAGGTCTCATTAGATGCCCAAAACATAA